TGATTAAATTATATAATTTTTGTAACAAATTTTTGTATAACAAAAAAATTGTTTTCCTCTTTCACCGATTCGAAAATCCTTTTCCAGGATTAAAGTATACACATTAATACATGTCTGGGAAGTGGAATCTATGCTAAGAACAACTAAAAATTTCAAAATTGATATATTTTTTATCAATTCTTAATGTAACATGGTGTCTTAGCTGTCAAGTCGTGACAATATTTGATATGAAAACTTTGCAACCTGTACGTACGAAATAATGATTCTCAGACACGTAATTTACACGAACAAACAACGTCGAGTTCTTAGAATTAGACTTAGACGCTTTATCGTGACGAATTTGTTATACGAAAATTGACACGAATGTGCGACTGTTATGTGCCATGTAACAATTGTTTAGTCACGTTTTTAATATAAAGTTTTCTACACATATTTCCCTGAATATTCCTGACAACCTTTTCGACTTCTTATTTGCTTCATTCATCATTTTTCCTTTTTGATCTTTTTTTTATCTAAAGACTCCTTTGAAATTCAGTCTTACAATATATTTTATGACTCATCTCCAAACGGATTCTAGAGTCATCATATCTTAGCTTCTATTATCCCTATCATGTGTACTTTTTGGTACTTGAAAATTTCACGTTATTGGTTAGAATTTGTAGGCAGCTCCATCGCTTTAGTCGAAGTAAAGATCTTTCTAGCTCTGATCGTATCAATCTACTCTCGTAAGTCGAACTTGCAACATAGTTCTAAGCTCGCCTCTTGTATTAACGTTGAATAAAGTCTGTTCTGAAATCAGTTGTCGAAATCAGTTGTCAGTTATAATACTTTATACATATTGCGATGCTTCGTGCTCATAACAGACTGCGTGTATCATAGGTTGCATAAAATATTGATGTGGTTATATGCACATAAAGACATGTTGATGCGCGGCGCGATCTCTGTGACTTCATCGGAGTTTGACTTGGCTCTTTAGAATCACTTTATATAATAAAAATAAAACACATAATTGTTTCTAAGAAGAATAATGCAATTTGCAAGTTTTTTTTTAAGAAACAGTTTATCCTCTTTACACAAAATAATTTATCTTCTTTACACGAATTATTAAATCTTATAATATTATTCTACGCATAAAAATATTAAGATACAGTTATCAAAAAATTAATAATTTATGAAATATCAAGATATTTCATTTCAAAATTTGTTAGAATAAAATAGACATAAAATAAATAAATTATAAATTATTAATTTTTCGATATTCTTACTTTAATATTTTTATATGCAGAACAATGAAAGAATTCATATTATATGACAAAATTATTTACATTTAACGAGTAATCTTCATGTTATCAAATCTGGTTTATTTTCATCGAAAACTTTTTTTATAATATCTACAATTTCGAAGAAAATTGATAGAATAGATTAAAATAGAACCCCTTTTAACAAAAAATATATACGTACATATAACAAAAATATGGATGCTTTCCAATTGCAATACTAGACACTTTCGTGCACACGGTGACACAAGTTGCGTTCCAATTGTCCATTATCGTCGACACAACGCTACACAATCTGTACTCAGTCAGAGGATGTGTAAACTTGTATTTTTTAGTAACAATTATATGTTACTAACTGCAGCGGCTATATATGAAATTGGAAGACATTGAGTGGCCGGCTCTTTTACTATTTTTTATTTAATACAGGCGGAAAAAGCTACATTTAATCTAACTACATCCGAAACGAATCTCAACTATACACAACGTATACATTCTGTTCCAATTGAATCGTGTACAATGATACATTTTATGTCCTGTACGTTTGTGTTAAGATGTGTTAAGCAATTGGAAAGCACCTTATATGTATAAATATACATATAATAAATGCAACTCTCTGAGTTATTAAATACTAAACTAGCCTTCCCAAAAAACAGTAAATAAAACGAGAGAAAGAAAGAACAGAGAGAGAAGAGACATTTTCATTTTTTATCATTATTTCTAATGATAAAATGATGAAAGAATTTTCTGAATTTATTATATAATGTAAAGGAAATTATCATGTTATTTTAACTAAAATTCCTTAATATTTTCATTTTATTATTCCTATTTCGTAATCATTTTCTTCAGTCAAAAAATAGGATATCTTTTATATATCCAATCAATGTTTACTATGTCAAAAGGTAATGCATCATTTATCATCAGGTATAGGAGTATTACAATTTCCATGCCACAATTTGGTTTCCGAATGGCATTCTGAATAATTAGCAAATACATCTGTGTAACCACGATCACGCCACCATGTACAAAGTTGCCTATTCCAACCACAATCTATCATGTGAATCAGTTCTGGTTTTTCCATGCCTAGAAGCGTATAGAAATCTTGATCGCCTAAATGACCCTATAACAAAAGAAATAAGGCATTAATTTTATTACATTGATTGATCAATATGAGCAACAAAATATCAAGTATATCCTATTTTTAATGATCCACTTTTAATGATCCACTTATAATTTTATATAGGGTGTCTCGAAAATAGAGTATACCGCATTGGAGGCGTAGAAAGGATCACAAGGGAACAAAAGTCTTATATCATTTTGAGAAGTTTGCCATAATTTTCGAATTAAAAAATGTATAAGCTAATATGCGGTGAAGCCGCGTCGCGCGAATTCGTAACACGGTCCATTATGCCTCATGCAATAACGGCGAGCAGCGAAAAGAAAGATAGCGCTTCGCCGCCTGGCATGGCGGTCCTATGTATTTCGCGCTTACACTATCCAAGAATGTTATTTTAGCTAAAGTTTTCATTACATATTTCTTATCATTATAAATCACGTTGTTTAACCCGATTAAATACATAACCCGATTTTAACACAATTAGATTAAGCTGTGTAATTAGAGCTACCCAAAGCATATGCTGATCATCGCGATACCTTTCCTTTTTTTTTATTAAACGATGTTTCTATTTAATTACACTTCGAGACACATTTCATCGAAGCTATCGCATTGTCTTATGCCGGAGTATTATTTTTTGACATGTTAATACGTGTATACTTGAAGTTACAGTATAAGCTCGCGTAGATAGTTGCATTGTAAACCCAAATGTATTATTTTTACATGTATAAACATTTAAAAAATGACATATTTGTTTGAAGTCCTTTTTTACATGTTTTTTGCTGTTTATAAGTTTAATCGTACACCATTAGAAACGTTCTTAAACTTTATTAAGGAGATACTGGAATAACAGCCGAACTTGAGGTCGATAAAATTGATTTTGTACCGCTTTCTGGAAGCTCAGGCTCTCATTACTCTCATGCGTTGTGAACTCAGGTTTTCAATCGCTCGGTTTGCTCACATGTTATGTGTGAGCATTTTGATAGAACGCAGTCTGAAATATGATTGCGTTCTAAATTACACTCAGTAGTAAAAATCTGTAATATACGTGACGTAAAATGTAAGATTTTACTAACAATATACATAATCGTAGTAGCACTTTTCGTTAAGGTCCAATGCCATTTAGATTACATAATGTGTCACATACCTATACATATATTGCACATATATGTGTAACTACTTCATCTCTTTTTGCTAAAGAGGTAAATCTACTGATACATATTGCCAGAATCTGTAACAGACGTAAACTAAGGATTTTTAATACTGACAGTGTATGTACATCAGCCGTAATAATGTCTTTCCCTATGTTCGATGTCATTTTAGATCAGGACGTAACATGTATTGTCAATACATGGATATTACTCATAACGCCTAACTACGTGTGCAGTTATTCTATCTCTTTTTGTTACACGAAACAAAAAAGACGTAGCTACACACGTATGTGGATATTAATTAGAAATATATTTTATGTTTTGTAATGTGTATAATGTGAATCATAATGCATATCAAATATAATTCTAATACTCACTAATGTTTATATCATCTGCATGACTATCTAAGTATGAGTAACTTCTATCCCTTTTTATTATGGGCCTTCTACAATAAGTCTTTAGTCATAAATTAAAAATCAGAAGCTAAAAATTGAATAATCACAGTTGTCAATTTTTCTGAGTTCTGATTTATGGCTTATTGCAGAAGATCTATTAGACATAATAAAAAGAGATGAAATAGCTATATATATATATATAT